TATAGTGACAATGGATATTTATGTGTTTCTGCATCCTATAGATGGTGGTAATGGGGCAGTGTGTGGGTGTCCCCCCCCTCTTTGGCCTCACCTGTCACTCATTGTAAAGACTCCCACCTAGGTTGTGCTGCGTATTGGAAGCTCTCTGGCTCTTCTCCTCCATCCCTCCTGCTGAACTGGCTTCCAGAGAGAGAGAAGAATGAGCATTGCTATTGGATGAATCGTCTTCGGGCTGCACAGCCGGAGCTCCGTTTTACAGAGAGAAAGAGAGAGAAGAAGATGGACGAGGCGGTCCCCTTCTCCCACAGCATCAGGTAAGAGGCAGGGAGCTGAGAGGATGGAGGATTCTGGGTCTGTGGGTGAATAAGAGCTGTATGAGGTCTGAGCTCTGTCAATAGTCTGGGGTTTATAGGTTCTGTACTTTAGGGTTTGAATAGTCCAAAATCTGCAGGATGCATATAATCAGGGGTCTGAGGATATGCAGTGGAGGGGAGGGGGGTCAGTATAATCCAGAGTGTGCTGGATCCCATATACTCCATGGGTCGCATTAAGTCCCGGGTCTGCAGTGTGCATATATTTCGGGGTCTGAGAATATACACTGTGGTGTCAGTATAGTCCAAGATGTGCGGTATTCTATACAGTCCATGGAATGCATATACGTAGACCAGGGTCTGAGGGGTACATATTATCTGGGGTCTGAAGATGTGCACTGTGGGGTCAGTATAGCCCAGGGTGTGCGGGATCCCATATACTTCATGGGATGCATGTAGTCCAGGGCCTGTGGGGTACATATAATCCGGGGTCTGAGGATATGCACTGTGGGGTCAGTTTATTCCAGGGTGTGTGGGATCCCATATACTTCATGGGGTGCAAATAATCCAGAGTCTGTGAGGTACATATAATCCGGGGTCTGAGGATGTGCACTGTGGGGTCAGTTTATTCCAGGGTGTGTGGGATCCCATATACTTCATGGGGTGCAAATAATCCAGAGTCTGTGAGGTACATATAATCCGGGGTCTGAGGATGTGCACTGTGGGGTCAGTTTATTCCAGGGTGTGTGGGATCCCATATACTTCATGGGGTGCAAATAATCCAGAGTCTGTGAGGTACATATAATCCGGGGTCTGAGGATGTGCACTGTGGGGTCAGTTTATTCCAGGGTGTGTGGGATCCCATATACTTCATGGGGTGCAAATAATCCAGAGTCTGTGAGGTACATATAATCCGGGGTCTGAGGATGTGCACTGTGGGGTCAGTTTATTCCAGGGTGTGTGGGATCCCATATACTTCATGGGGTGCAAATAATCCAGAGTCTGTGAGGTACATATAATCCGGGGTCTGAGGATGTGCACTGTGGGGTCAGTTTATTCCAGGGTGTGTGGGATCCCATATACTTCATGGGGTGCAAATAATCCAGAGTCTGTGAGGTACATATAATCCGGGGTCTGAGGATGTGCACTGTGGGGTCAGTTTATTCCAGGGTGTGTGGGATCCCATATACTTCATGGGGTGCAAATAATCCAGAGTCTGTGAGGTACATATAATCCGGGGTCTGAGGATGTGCACTGTGGGGTCAGTTTATTCCAGGGTGTGTGGGATCCCATATACTTCATGGGGTGCAAATAATCCAGAGTCTGTGGGGTACATATAATCCGGGGTCTGAGGATATGCATTGTGGGGTCAGTTTATTCCAGGGTGTGTGGGATCCCATATACTTCATGGGGTGCAAATAATCCAGAGTCTGTGAGGTACATATAATCCGGGGTCTGAGGATATGCATTGTGGGGTCAGTTTATTCCAGGGTGTGTGGGATCCCATATACTTCATGGGATGCATATAATCCAGAGTCTGTGAGGTACATATAATCCGGGGTCTGAGGATATGCATTGTGGGGTCAGTTTATTCCAGGGTGTGTGGGATCCCATATACTTCATGGGATGCATATAGTCCAGTGTCTGTGAGGTACATATAATCCGGGGTCTGAGGATATGCATTGTGGGGTCAGTTTATTCCAGGGTGTGTGGGATCCCATATACTTCATGGGATGCATATAGTCCAGTGTCTGTGAGGTACATATAATCCGGGGTCTGAGGATGTGCACTGTGGGGTCAGTATAGCCCAGGGTGTGCGGGATCCCATATACTTAATGGGATGCATATAGTCCAGAGTCTGTGAGGTACATATAATCCGGGGTCTGAGGATATGCACTGTGGGGTCAGTTTATTCCAGGGTGTGCGGGATCCAATATACTTCATGGGATGCATATAGTCCAGGATCTGAAGATATGCACTATTGGGTCAATTGTAGTGTCTGTGGGGTGCATATAGTCTACGGGGTGCGTATAGTCAGGAGCCTGTATGGTGCATCGAGTTCAGGGTCTGCGAGGCATGTTATAGTCCATGGGATGCACATAGTCTGTGGTCTGCATGATATGTACTGTGGGGTCTGTATAGTCCCAGAAGTGTGTATAGTCCATGGGGTGCATGAAGTCCAGGACCTGTGGAGTACGTAAAGTCACAGGCCTCCAAGGTGTATATAGTCTAGGGTCATTGGGATATGTATAGTCCTGGGTCTCGGAGATGTGTATAGTCCAGAGCCTGTACGGTGCATATAACCTGGGGTCTGAGGATATGCACTTTGGCAACTATATAGTCCCAGGAGTGTGTATAGTCCAGGGCCTCCAGGGTATGTATTGTCCCAGGTCTCTTCAAGATGTGTATAGTAAAGGGTCTGAGGTACAGGATGGGTATTTCACCAGGTCTGTGGGGTGGGTATCATCCCAGGTCTGTGGGGTGTGAATACTCAAGGGGGGGAGGGGAGGGGGGTAGCAGAATAGAATGGGGTGCGCACAGCCTGGGGTCTGGGGGGTATAAATATTAGGTGCGGTGGCTATATTCTGGGTCATATTATCTTACAGGTGGGTTCAGTAATTTCTGTACTCCCCCCTTCGCAGTCCTGCCCGGTGTGAGGGTCACCTCCATCCTATTACAACCCCAGCTGGGCTCATATTTTACAGAAGGTACATCTCCACTTGGCATTACTAACACAAACAACTCTCCAGAGTTTTTGCGGCACTCTGCCAAGATGGCGGAGGGGGGTTTTGCGCCCTGCCGTATAGAGATTTCCCTCCGCTCCTCTGTATTATAACAATTCCCTGATCTGCCTGTCAGCCCTGCGTCACGTCTTCACTTCTTATATAACAGGCCGCCATGAATAATGCATGTGACATCAGCCCTTACGCCTGTATCCGTGGCGGAGGGTATGACACGGTCTATAATATAAACATGTAATGCGCGGGGAGGACGCAGCTTGTATGGCGGATCTGGGGGACTTTGCTGGTCCTCATCGACGACATCACATCTGAAAGCGGTTGCCACGGTAACAACAGAAGCAGGCCTGGCGGCTACAGTGCTGCGGAACACAGACTTTACGCCACAGGCTGGAGCTAATTTTAGTAAAAGTCACCAGAGAGCGCGAGAAAGAGGCACTGAGCCTTTAACCCCTTCTCTGCCACAGATCCTATGACGGGAAGGGCTGGAGAGCACCTATAGAATAGAAATTGGTTGGGGGGGGGTTGTTGGGAGTGGAGAGCACCTATAGGAATTGGTTGAGGGGGTTTGTTGGGAGTGGAGAGCACCTATAAAAATTGGTTGAGTGGGTTTTTTGGGAGTGGAGAGCACCTATAAAAATTGGTTGAGGGGGGTTGTTGGGAGTGGAGAGCACCTATAAAAATTGGTTAAGGGGGTTTCTTGGGAGTGGAGAGCACCTATAGGAATTGGTTGAGGAGGTTTGTTGGGAGTGGAGAGCACCTATTGGGATCTGATGAACTGATCGGATTCTAATGAACTGTTTAAGCACATCCACTCAATACATGGCTGTTGGTAAACTTCAAGATGGGAACATGTATGTCCACATATATTCTGGTCTGATGAAATCCCACGACAATCACAATCATTCCCGAGCGTCATGTAGGTTCTCAGCATTTAGAGAGGCAACTGGGAGGTAGTGATGTCACAGTGCCATGAAATGAGAAGGCTTGCAGACACATTTGTGAATGGGAAGTGCTCCTTCTAGTAGAAACAAAGGATGAAGGGATGAACATCGGTACCTAATCAGATGTAAGGTCACTGGGATCGGCAATGGTCATTTTTGGTGGTTGCTATTGTTCCTTTAGGGTCAAAGTGCCTGCCTGGTCTTTAACTTCTGCAGCGTTTCTCCATGTTTTGGTGGCAAAAAATGTTACTCTGATATTGAATGCTTGTTTTCTTTGTTTTGTACAGACCCTGAACCCATGTGATGTGGAATTGTGTCACTATGGCTAAAAATAACAATGTATTCAGCGCGATCCCCGACCCCACCATCAACAACGCCAAACCCAAGGTCTCTCAAAAATCCAAACTAGCGGAAAAGTTGGAGAAGGCGGACAGGAAACTGAGGAGGCGGCAAAGGTACGTGGAGAAGGATGGCCACTGCAATGTCCAGCATGGAAATGTCCGAGAGACTTATCGCTATCTTACAGACATCTTCACCACCTTGGTGGACCTGAAATGGAGGGTGAGTCTCCTGGTCTTCATCATGGCCTATGCCATCACCTGGCTCTTCTTTGGCCTCATCTGGTGGTTTATCGCCTATTGTCGGGGGGACCTGGAGCATCTGGACGATCCGGGGTGGACACCATGCATCAAGAATCTCAATGGGTTTGTCTCTGCATTCCTCTTTTCTATCGAAACGGAAACAACGATTGGCTATGGACATCGGGTCATCACGGACAAATGCCCGGAAGGGATCATCTTGCTGCTCCTTCAAGCCATCCTGGGCTCCATGGTCAACGCTTTCATGGTGGGCTGCATGTTTGTCAAAATCTCCCAACCCAACAAACGTGCCGAGACGCTGGTCTTCTCTTCCAATGCGGTCATATCCCTGCGGGACGATAAACTCTGTCTCATGTTCCGCGTGGGAGATCTGCGCCAGTCGCACATTGTGGAAGCTTCTATTAGAGCCAAACTTATTAAGTCTAAACAGACGCAAGAGGGAGAATTCATCCCGCTGAACCAGACAGACATCAACATTGGATTTGAGACCGGAGATGACCGGCTGTTCTTGGTGTCACCATTAATCATCAGCCATGAAATCAATGAGCATAGCCCATTTTGGGAGGTGTCCAAAAAGCAGCTGGCGAAGGATGATTTTGAGATGGTAGTGATCCTTGAGGGAATGGTGGAAGCCACAGGTAGGTGCTCCTCTCCGTTTATTGTAGTGTAGGTTGCCATGGTGAAATGGTGCTAATTATTTTGCCCATGGTACTGCCATCTTTTCATGCATTTCCTGTCTGACAGGAAGCAGTGAGTTGGGAACAATCTGTAGCCAACACAGAATTATTTTTATGTGTATAGAAGATTATGGGAAGGAAGGCAGAGGTGGCAGCCATGTTGGCTTGGCACTTTTATCTTTTAGGACAATCATAGCTTTGACCATCCTCTGAGTTGGGGGCTGACCCCACCCACCATATAAAGAAATGGTCTTTATATGGCTCCAGATCGCAGATAGGGGGCGTCACGGTTAGAGAATTAATCCTCTGAAATATACTACATGACCAAAAGTTTGTGGACACCAAACCATCACACCACTGAGCTTGTTAAACATCTCGTTCCAAAACCATGACCATTATTATGGAGTTGCCCCATGGCCATTTTTATGGAGTAGGCCTTTCTTCTGGGAAGATGTTCCACAAAATTTTGGAGTGTGACTTTGGGAGTTTGTGCCTATATGCAAGGTCAGTTACTGATGCTGGATGAGAAAACCTGGCTTACAATAGTCATTCAAATTAATCCCAAAAGTCTTCAATAGTGTTGAGGTCAGGACTCTGTGCAGGACACCCCAGTTCCTCCACACCAAACTGGTCAAACCATGTCTTTATAGCGCTGGCTTTGTACACAGGGGCATAGTCCTACTTAAACAGAGAAGGACCTTCCCCAAGCTGTTACCACCAGGCTGGAGGAACACAATTGTCTACGTTTCTTTGTGTGATGTAGGGTTAACAGTGGCCTTCACCTGAAACATCTCAACTCAGTTATTTGAAGGGAGTCCACATAATTTGTACTGTCCACATACATTGACCAAGAACATCTGTGCATATAGGTCAGGACCCTTGATATTCATACTTATTTCAGATCACTGACAGAGAAAATACTGATGTCAACTGATTAGCATAATAGCCAGGGAACTCATATTTTTTTAAGGTCAGTAATGGCAGCCTCCATATTTCTCTCACTATGACCCAGAATACCTTTGGTACTCTCTATGAGCTCTGAAGAGCCTGGAGACTTTCATTAGAGAGACCCCATATTTGACGACCTCCCAGCTATGGTGGGTGTAGAGCAGGGGTATCAAAGTACGGGCCTGCTGGTCTATGTGGCCTGCTTCACGGACCGCGTGCCTGACCTGCAAGTGCAGCTACACAGTCTGCGTCTCTGTTGGATGCAGACCACATAGCTCCTTCTCTGTGCCGGTACTTAGATCCTTTTGGCCAGCGCTCTGAAATCCTTCAGTGAGCGGTGGCCAAAAGGATGGATTAGTAAGGTCTGCACTAGACCTTCCTAATCAACCAGTGGATCACCAGAGATCGTGCCTCCTCCCTGCAAAGAGGTAAGCAGGACAGAGGGCTCTTTGTTTTATTCTGTGTGTGCGGGGGGCAGGGGTTTATTATTTTATATGTGCAGGGGTAGTATTTTTTTATGGGGGGTGGAAATAGTGTATTTTTTTTATGTGTACGGGGGGAAGCGTATTAGGCTCCATTCACATTTGTAAGTTTAGGTGCGATCAGGGATTCCTGCATCAGGAACTTGCATTTTCCTGCAGCAGGAATCCCCAATCAGATGACAGCTGCTGTATGTAAACGCCTGCACACCACATGTAATGATATGTGATATGATTACAGGAGGTTAGGAATCAATCACTATCCCTGGATGGGTCGATTAGGCATCCATGTTAACCTCATGTAATCATATCACATACCATTACATGTGGTGTGCAGGAATTTACACACAGCGGCTGTCACCTGATCATTAACTTGGACGGGTGACCGCTGTCAGGTTAGGGATTCCTGCTGCAGGAAAACGCAGGTTCCTGACGCAGGGATCCCTAATCAAACCTAAGCTTACAGATATGAATGCGGCCCTTTGTGAGTATATTAGTGTCCATAGTGAAGTATGAAATATGGCGAGCAACCCCCATGGGAGAAAAACATTTGTCAAGTGGCCCCCGAGTGAATTGAGTTTGAGACCCCTGGTGTAGAGGGTAGGCCTCTGTGTTACCAACAGCAACCACCACCCGGGACTCTCATCATACACTGTTAGGTGCCATAAGGGTCACTGCCCTTGCGTCAGCCGTTCTCAACATTACTGGAACCAGTAGAAACCACTTCTGTCTCATGCCAGTGGTTACTGAGGGTTACCTCACAGCTTTGAGCACCTGCCAGTCAATAGACCGTAGGATTTTAGTGACCTCTAGTGGTAGCTTTAAGGTAAGACAAGTACAAGGGTATCAGCTATACATCCACATGACACGTTTACATATTTATAGTTTGAGTCTCAGCTTGATAAAAAAAAAAAAAAGATTATGGTTCTCTCTTGATGCTGCTGGGAGCTACACTTTAAATTATATCATCTTGGCGTGTCAAAAGGCCCCAGCTGCCAATAAAATGTAGACATAGCAAAGAGAAAACGAAGCCTGATCGGCGACTTTATTGCAGGAATAAATGTAATACAATCTGTGACTGGTCTCTTCTCCTCCCTCCAGGAATGACGTGCCAGGCCCGCAGCTCTTACCTGGCGGACGAAGTGCAGTGGGGTCATCGCTTCATGTCCGTGCTGACGCTGGAGGATGGCTTCTACGAGGTGGACTACAACACCTTCCACCAGACCTTTGAGGTTCCCACCCCAGTCTGCAGTGCCCAAGAGCTGGCAGAGACCGCCGCCAGAATGGACGCTCACCTGTACTGGTCCATCCCCAGCCATCTGGATGAGAAGGTGGAGGAGGAAGGGATGGAGAAACAGGACAAGCAGAGGAATGGAAGCATCACCAGCCCGGAGAGCGAGCAGACACCCTCTGAGTGACCATCTGTAGAGCCGGTCATTGGGGACTGACCACACTCCGGAGATGGACATTAGGGCCAGCCACTGCAGACAGATCGCATGTCATGGATGGAAATTAGAGCTGGTCATTGGGGACTGACCACACTCAGGAGATGGACAGTAGGGCCGGCCATTGGTGACCTCATGGATGGTCATTAAATCCAGTCATTGGGGATTGACCTCACTCCACAGATATACCTTAGAACCAGTCATTTATTACACTCGCATTTTGCAAAATTCCTGATGAGCGATGACCGATGCAATAAAATGGATTTTCAGTTTACAGCTGTGTGTGTATTAATGGGGGGGGGGTCACACACGCAATGCACCCTCCCCGGTGTTGCCTCCGCCCTTTGAGGGACCCATTTCTCAAAGTAGGGATGCACCCATACCGCTACTTGTATCTGTGCCGATACCTTGTATCGTCCAAACGCTCCGATGCCTTCCCTGATACTGGAACTTCCGGTCAGAGGACGACTTCCTCTGCCCGGTCATACCATAGGTGAACATGGAGCCAGCTTCCCATGCGATCAGGAAGCTGGGTGGTGAGTAATGACTCGTCTCCCGGCTTCCTGATTGGCCAGGAAGCCGGCTCCATGCTGATTGACCAGGAATCCTGCTTCCCGGCCAATCAGCATCAACCTGGCAAAACAGCTGGCTCCATGCTGATTGGCCGGGAAGCCGGTTTCCTGGTCATTCAGCATCAACCTGGCCGAACAGCTGGCTCCATGCTGATTGGCCGGGAAGCTGGCTTTCCAGCCAATCAGCATGGAGCTGACTGCCTGGCCAATCAGGAAGCCAGGTCATTACTCACCACTCAGCTTCCTGGGAAGCCGGCTCGATTCTGATTGGCTGGGAAGCCAATCAGAATCAAGCCGGCCAAACAATATGGAGTTGGCTTCCCAGGCAATCAGGAAGCCGGGTGGCATGTCATTACTCACCGCCCGACTTCCTGATGGCCTGGGAAGCCTGCTCCATGCCAGCGGAAGCACTGGTATCAGCGAGTACCGAAAGCAAAGCATCGGTATTCGTATCCAATACCGAAAAAACGGTATTGGTGCATCCCTATCTCAAAACCTTTGAAGCAAGGACTCGGTGTTCCCCCAACAACCAGATCCCAATCTGCTGATCAGTGCTGGTCTGAATCTAGCTGGTTGTGGTGGACTGTCTCAGAGGGTTCCTCCCCTTGGCCCAAACGGTCCAATCACCACACAACATGGGTTCTTCAACTCAAAAAACATAAACCGAGTTGGGAAATAATGAGGTCAAAGCTCAAGTTAAACTTTGTTTTAGTTTTGGAGTGAAGAAGGGTAAGAACCTCGATCGGCTATATAATGTGGCTTCCTGATTGGCCAGGCAGTCAGCTCCATGCTGATTGGCTGGAAAGCCAGCTTCCCGGCCAATCAGCATGGAGCCAGCTGTTCAGCCAGGAGATCCCCCTCACTTCCTGTCCCCGGTGAGACTGGATGTCACCAACATAGGAAGTGATGGGAATCTTCCCATTGTGGACAGGGGGTCTCGCCCTTTCTCACTCCATCCAAAGCCTTTGATTCTGATTGGCTCCTGTGGGGAAACGCAGACAGTTCTTGTGTGTGTCGCCCTGATAACGCCACATAGCTCCGCCCCCGTCTCATCGTGGAAACAATATACAGAACAACAGTGGTGTGACAAAACGTTTTATTTCATGGAAATGGCAGCCATGGAGGTTTCCTCCAGCCATCATGAAGACTCAGAATTATTAGTAAGTTCTTCACCAAACTGCAACCAATCACAGCTCCGGGCTAAGTTGTCTCTTGATACAAACTGGCACATGTCCTTCCCAGAGTGCAGCTGGCAGAATTCCTCGTCACTGGTTGCTTCAGTTAGTAGTCAGCAGATTCAGCCAATCACAGTGGAATTCAGAAAGTGGGGGGTGGGAGGACAGGAAGCTTTGTACCAAGAGACGACTTAGCCGTACAGAGCGGTGCAGCTGGTGGAGAGAGGAGTGGTTGGTCCCAAGACTTACAATCAACACAAACACAAAAAACATCTCAGATTAAAAACCGTACCACCAATTCTTCCTTCACAGCCCGCCCTGCCGCCCCCTTCAACAATGGCGGCCGGGGGAGGGGGCGTAGGCAGGTGGGTAATCAGTGTATAAAAATGGCCACCGAAATAGTCCATTGAAAGTGACTCGTATACGCGGTCGTGCGACTCCAGCAATGCGGAATGAGGGGAAGTGACGTCTATGGTACCCGGTGCTGGATTCCTCCATCAACCGGCACCAGCAGTGCCATCTAATAGGTCCATTCACACGGGCTGACCAATCAGAAGTCAGCTCTCAATATTCCGACAGATGTCCGCAGTGAGAGGTGAAATCGGATTGGTCGCTGTGAGGTACTGCACCTTATACGGTATTGGTAAAAGACCTGTAAACATGAAACGAAGAACTGACCGAGCTCCAAATACCACTTGGGGACGTGAGAGTGAAGATGGGGGGGG